AGAAATTGAATAAAAACAAGGTAATTGACAAGGTTTAAACCAACAAGAAGTAGGTTATTTTTAAACCATAGGGCACCCAGTAGGAATGTAAAATATGGGCAATAAAGTGAAATGAAATATGTTATTTACATCTAATAGTACGCAATAGTTGAGGTTACTTGCATACTAATCCTAATGGTTAATTTGTTGTATATTTCTCCTACTCAAGGCCTTGATATATAAACGGAGAATGCTATAACTTCAAATCTAGTAAGAAATTCTAAATACTAGCAAACAAAACTTCCTGTGCAACTGCCTTCATTGTCATAAGCTAGTGCAATATACAAACATGCATTGTCGATTCTTGCACGTAGTATTTCTCTGTTTCCAAAAAGAAATGCAGACAAGGAGAAGGCTTAACAGGAAAACGGTTAAAAAAAGAGAAGCTGTGGAAATTACTGTTAGCAAATTCGGGTACAGCGGAAGCTTCACCGCTCCGAGAATTGAAATCTACTACTAAGAATGCAATAGACGACATTACAACTTGTCTTCGATCAATTAGTAGGCTATGCTCCAATCTTCCACCTCCCTCTTCAATAAGGCAAAAGAGAATTAGCAATCAATCGGAAGTAAAAAAAGAAAACACATAAATGTACCAATGTATCACTTTTTGGAAAATTTACAGGCATGAGATTAATGTTGAAATACTTGTAATTACAGAGTATGGGATGAAGTTTATTTGGTTTGAGCCATCTCGTCTTGGCTTCCTCCATTATATCGTCGATTTCCAAATCTATCAATATAACAAGGATTGAAAATTAAAACTTGAAACTAAACTTCAAAAAATATTAAAGTGAACAAGAAAATGGATACCTTTATTTTATCATTAAAAAGCGCATAGTAACACAAATTAGCACATAATCAAATATGAAACAATCAATTAATAGAGACACTATGCCTTAGTAGCACTCCAGTCAACGTGTTTCAAGATAGATTATAAAAATTGATTTGAAAACCATTCATTATATTGTCAAAGGCAGTCTAAATAGTATATTGCAACTACTTTAATGCACTGTTGACTCTACATTTCATATGAAATACACATTAAATCAATATAAATTGGCATTGCTTTAACCCAATCCATCATAGTCAATCTGAGAGCCCTCATATGCATATAAAAGTACACATATATTTTGGCATATTGCAATAGTTGGTCTGTAAAGCATAAATTTCTAATAACTTGGTGGCGTCAAAACTTGAAGCTAGGATTGAGCCACTATATGAGATAAGTCAAACTTATTTATTTAATTTATGTTTTCAACAAAAAAAAATCTAAAGTAAAAGAAGAAGAATAAATAGAACAAGTAATCATATACTTTCTTCCTATATAAAATCTTTGTGGTAAATTGTTGCGAGATGATAAATAGTAAAACTCTCAAGACTCATTATAAGTTGACCTACCGACATAAAATACTCAAACCATTCAAACTTCACAAACTAAATTACCAAATATACACAAAGAAAAGCGTACGTCTTTTAAATAGATTTACGCATATATGTGTTATACCTGCCATGGTACGAAACCCATAAATCTCGGACCCAGCGTAATTCATGTGATAGATTTCATAAATAAAACAAATAATTATTAGTCTTTGGTGTGACATACATATTGCAATTGCAATAGAAGTATGAAATATTACTTTTCATCAATGAATAGAGCCTACACTATCTGTCTCAATCATTGGCTCTTCTCACTCCCTTCTTGAAACTCCATTTCATATTTTTCATCATACTTGAGTTTACGCTAACAAGGGGTCATCAACTGAATTGTCCAAGATAACAAAATACAAAACAGAGTGTTGCAAGTAATATTGATAACAAAAACATGACAGGCCAAAATTCCAATTTTTTTATGTATACTCCACTCAATTTTTCAGTATGAAGGATTATAACATGTTATTGCCTAATATTTACCTTTCTTCCACCCAATTATATAATATGGTGGACAAGTTTAAACACTTTATCATCCCCAATTATTCAATTAAATAAAATTCCCACAATAGCTAGGAGGAAGGAAAAGAAAAGAAAACTTATAAAATGTCAGCTAACTCGCAAAGGTTCAATTATTATTATTATTACTATTTTAAATATTAAATTGAATTTGATTGGAAAGTTCAAAATCCCAAAGAATATGACACAGTGAAGAGTAATAAAATTGTGACAAATTAAATGCTAAAGAAGGAATGCTACTTTACATACCCCAGGTGAAAAATGGACAATCGGAGGTGGCGGTAGTAGTGTGCTCATGGCCACAAGCAATATCAAGCCATTGGAATTTCCGTCGGCGGGACAATAGAAAAGCTCCAGTGGAAGCTGTCTCGGGACCCTCAAGTTGTGCTCTTTACCCTTCCAACCCATTTGACCCGATTGTTTATATCCCCAAACGTAGATTGCGCTCTTTGTGGGGACATTTTCCCACTGTGAATCCCCAAATTTCTCATTGATCTCCATATTTCTTTATTACTTACTATCAATTTCACACATCTAAGAAGTAATCACATAACCAATATAGGAAATGGATAATTAACTACTGACCGGAATCAATTTGGGGAATGGAAAATGAGAAATTAGTAAATTTAATTATTACCTGCGGACTGATTGAGCCTACAAACAGTTAAATCGAGATGGGTCTTGGACATACATTTGGAAACTGAGTTTTTTATAGCATATCTCCATATATTAATTGCCTGGAGAAAAAGCGATACTGGCGTTCGGTGTTGGGTTATGACGGAAAAGATTGTGGTAAAGCTCTAGTTTCACTGCCATTTTTCAGATGTGGTGGCGGCGTCGACGAAAGGAATTTGAAGCGACGATGGTTGGTGTTGGGCAGACTAAAAGGTAATGGTTTGCTTTGCTTTCGTTTGTATCAGATAAGAAAGAGAAAAGAGGCGATGGTTACAAGAATGCAAAGCAATAAAGTGGTGTACTTACAGAAGATATATTTATTGGTGAACAACGTTGAACCAATTTATTTTTATAATAAAGAGGAAATTGCACTAAATGTCATTTTTTGACTTTGCATTTTTAAAAATGTCACTTTTTTAAAGTCTTTGCAAGAATGTCATTTTTGGA